TTGATGTACGCTGGATTTGACCTGGGATTTTGATCCAGGGACTATGCGCGCGGTAGCGACCCCTCTTGTCACCACACCATCAGCGCTCGAATGGGTATTTTGAAATGTAAGTTGGAAACTTAAAGGAATCTTCCACGGAAAAAGCTCCGCCCTCATTACCACAGAAAACGATACCTTAAAGGAATCTTCCACGGAAAGAGTGATCATTTTGTCTTGTGTGTAGGATTAGTATTATCGAAACTAACGCTTATGTTCCGTTCTTTTTGCTATGCTCATGAGGCTAGGGGCCTAAGGGGTATCGTTTTTCTGTGGTAATGGAGGCGGAGCTTTTTCCGCGGAAGATTCCTTTAATATCGGAGTCCAGTCGTTTCAGAAAGAGGGAGATCGTTAGCGCTGATGACAGTAGCAGCACTGATAAGAGTCACATCAACTCGGAAATCAACGGGCAGAGAAGGAGTTCCATGTCTTCGATTCTGGGCTGTTCCTCATGGTTTTTGTTTGTCCCTGCTCCACTGACCTCCTCCCCCCTTGGTTCCTAACGAGCTGCTTTTTCATTGCTAGCCCGCCTACAAGGCAGTGGGAAAGTTTTCACATAGATGAGCACCGTTAACATTAACAGCGCGCGCTGAACCTGCAGAACAGTGCAGCACAAGCGGATAAAGGGAGGAGGGTGACGATGACTTTTCTTCTGAAGGCTTATTGATGGGTATTTTCGTGTCGCTTTGAAGGCTTTGAAGGCGCTGCTTCGGAACATCAAGGATTGTCGGTCGTTCACCAGCGGTCAGGTTCCAGGTAACACCAGCGCTTTCCTGCACCTTCCTGCCTCCACCGGAAACATGGAGCATGAGGCTAACACAGAACACAGGTGATGTCCCTTGGACAAGATGCATGGAGTTGAGCGTCTCTGAGCCGAACTGCACTTATATTCCCTCCGATGTGCGTTCAAATATTTGCTGGAGTTTGTCTGATTAGTACCGCTCCCTTTGACGCTGTTGCCAAACTCAGCGTCTAAACCGGTTCATCGCTTACTACTTGCTGTTTATTTTACGTCGGTGTACATGAAGGAAAAGCTTCTTCTTCCAAAATTTCCTCTCAGCTGCCTGATGTGAAAAGCTGGTTGAAGTCTCCGACGACTAGAATGTTCCTTATCGTTGCAAAAAAGAAGCAGTCAACTGCTTCATTGGTTGTGAGCCACGCATTTCACACCCATGCAGCTTCTGGAGGCTCTTGGATGCCAAAATGAGTTTTGCAATAGCTTGCATGTGACAGCCGAGAAAGGTCAGAGGTCATTTTCAAGGTTATTTCTAGTGAAATATTTCGCTGGCAAGAGGGATGAAAGTCTTTCGGAATGGGTGTGCTCTACGCTGCAGGGTGCATCCAGTAGTATATCTGAACAGCTTCGAGATCTATAGTAAGCCATTTTCGGAATTCATGTTCTCTTATTGCGGTGTTGTACTGATGTCCCATAACTATTGCACCAAATTTTGAGCTCAAATTTCGTAGGTGTTTATAGCTTTTCTTCCGAGATTGGCAGACCTTTCAATCCTCTATCCTCTTGTCAATGACCATGCCAAATTCCACGGCTTACCGTTCGGCCTGCATCTCATGGTGCGCCTAAACTTCAAAGAGTGCCTAACCTCTCACACAGCTAGGTCGGACATCCGGTGATGAGCATCGCGCTTCTTTGGATTTTCAACCGCTCCGCGGCCTACCGTGCACTAAAGAGAAGACCAATAAAAGTAGTCTTTGTTGTGGCCGCCCCACAAGTTCTGACATCTTGGATCTCAGGAAAAGCATGAAGAAGCGAAACGACTGCAATACCCGGGTTGGCTCGAGAAAGGTGACCAGAACGCTGGAGTTTCTAAACACAGCCATGTAAGGAATGGTCGGATAACAATTGCTCACAGTACATTATACAGGGTGGTCCAAAATTATGAGGACCGCGTGCGCGCGGTCATATCCACTTTTTTCCGAGTCGCTCCATTTTCATCTCCTTTTCTGTGCACTATGTGAGAGGGTACAATGTCTTCTTCCTTTGAAACCAAATTTCATGCAGTTCTCAAAACTAGTGAAATAACAACATCTCCTTACGTCAGTCCTCAAATTGAACTCACTAGGGGCTCTGGCACGTTACATCTAGCGGCAGTCTAACGTATCAGGGAAGCTCTTATGGGCAACAGTTCAACTCTTCAATAAGTTTGGAACCACCACAGATGGAAAATTCGGAGACTCGAAAGTTACAGTTACCACCAGGATAATTATCAGATGCAGATACTAGGTCTCTCCTTGTCCACTTTCGGATTT